CCGTTGGCCCTTTTCCAGTCCTCCGGGACTTGGCCCGTGCGCCACGAGCGTTCAAATATTCCTGCCAGTGGCTGTGCAATGTTGTCGGCCAGTGCCTTCAGTACCCTTGGATGGAGCTCATCCGGGCCTGCCGACTTAAAGGCATCCAGTTCTTCCAAGTGACTCTGCACCATCTCAAAGTCTACACATGGGTTTCTGCTGCCCCATTCCTTGCCTGATCCCCCATGTGTACTGTTCATGGATCATGAGTGCGGGATGCTGTCCCTCCCATTGATGTGCTGCTGCTACATCCCCTAACCCATGTTCCTGCCCCATGCCCTGACCCATGCTTCTGCTTGGCAGCAGTACATATCAGGGGATTCAGCAGCAGTGTGGGTTAGGGAATAGGACAGAAGCTTGTTGGGGGATGGGGAGGCAGCCTGGGTCAGGGGATGCAGCAGCCCTGCAAATACAGGGGATGGGATAGAAGTGCAGGTCGCTCATCCCAAGCTGCTGCTCCATTCCCCATCCAATCCCAACCTAATCCCCACTCTGCGTTGCCGCCCCAACCTCTACCTGATCACTCATCCAATCTCTGACCTGTGCTGCTTCCCTATCCCCCACTAGATTCCAACCTAATCCCCCTCAGGTGCTGCCTGATCCTGTGCCTATCCCTGACTCAGGCTGACACTAGCCCTGGCCTCTCACATGCACTCGCTGGATTTCTGCTGACTCTGCAGTTCTAAGCAGCAGTGGTGGCAGCAGCCTGGGCAGCTCCAGCTCTGGCTCTGGGCTGATATTGAGGCCAGAACAAAGACAGAGCTCTGGTACTCATCTCCAAAACTAGGCTTGTTTTTCTCCCTGTTGACAGAGAAAAAATGTCATCTTGGATTTAAGTGTGTGTGTGTAACAATCTCCTGCTGTAACACAGTGGGACCATGTAATCTTCAGACTCCTGATATGAAAAAGCTAGGAGCCTAAAAAAGAGTAGAGTACGTGATCTTGCCAGTTTTTGCAATATGTGGTGCTTTTTGTAAAGCTTTTGCAGTTCTGTGATTACCTGAAAGTCTCAGCTTTTGCTTTTAAGAAAAAATATGCTACCTCTGGTTGTGGAACAGAAATTTGAAAATGAAGCATAAACAAAAAAAGTAAGTGTAAAGAACTTCAAATGTAGTATTTTCTAAGATCCCTTAACTTTTTGAGGCATGTCTCATGATTTTGAACAACCTGGGATTGGTTGCATAATGAAAACGAACCAGTGATCAGTGTGCACATCACAACTGAGCACATGCTAATTTAATGGTTCAACAAATTTTCCGTGTTTATACAAAAAGTTTCAGAGAACGCATTATAGTGCATTTGAGTGAGTGCATCTATATGCAATGTTTACTGTGGAGCTGCCTAATTTGTTCCTCAGTAAACATCTCTGTGTCTACATATGTGCCCCTATTAGGCACATGAAACATGTACTAGCCTGCTCCAGAGTTTATTTGTTGTGTAGCAGTGCACCTGCAGACACTACCTGCCTGGCTGGGGCTCAAGGGTACTCCAGTGCGGGGGGTTGCCTGCCAGCTAGTCTTGCACTGAAGCTCCCTTGTGTCCCAGCCTGTCCCTCTGAAGCATGTGGGGGCCAGTCAGAGCAGCCCTGGGCTGGCAGACTAACCCCTAGGACCCCCTGCCAGGAGGGACTGCTCCAACCAGGCTCCATGGTCAAGGCATTAATAAACTCTGCAACTTATTGCTCCTGAGTTAATTGCTCCAGGGTGCACATTCAACCAGTGCTCCCAGGAACAAAAAAAACTCTGGAGCATGTGCACTATTGGATATGTAGACATGCCCAGTAAGTTATAGTCATGAATTCATGCAAGGCTATTTCTTCAATTCTCTGCATAGTGTATGCACAATCCTAAATAATGAAACACTTTGATATCTAAATGCACTCTAAAAGTACTTTTAACTGGTTAAAATGGCTTGCCTGTGCTGTTGTATGAATCAGTTCATTTCAGTGAAGAAAATGCTTCTCAGTTAGCAGGACTAAATAGTGAAGTATACATGATTTCATATAATATGGTGAAGTGCACAAATCTTTTAAAAAATTCTGTGAGGCATGCAGAGAAAGATGCACACAGGTTTATTGACATTGCTTTATTTATGGGACAACTGATTTTCACAATCTAGATAAAATTAATTACAATTTGCAATATTTGTTCTGTAGTGGCTGATATAGCAATATTAGTAAAGGGTGCAAGGATTATGATGCAACTCAGCTAAACCTGGAAGAATTTACAGTTTGGGCTGATTCTTCCTTTTTACCTTGTGCTGTTGAGAAACAGTGACAAAACTGTATAATGTAAAGATAAAATGTAATACGTAGAGAAAATCTCTAGTCAGAAAAGTGACTGTGTGAATACATCAGTGAGGATCTCTCTATTTATTGTGCACCACTGTTGGCCACATCAGATATGCTTATTTTACAAGGAGGGTGATGGGAAGTACCTGCCAGTACCATATGGTGAGGTGAGGCTTGAGGAATCAAATAGGTTTCCTTGTTACTTCATTCATTCTCATCAATAATAAAACTTCTGCAGAACAAACAAGGTTTTGAGTGGTATGCATGTAAACTCACTGACTTTATATCAGGTCCTCACTGCCACCTGTGCAATCCCAGGGCCTGCCGTGAGCTTGCAAAGGTGTCACAGATAGGAATATAACAAGAAGCTAGTTAATGATATGCTGGCTCAGCAGGGTAGATCAGTAAAAAGCAAAATAGATGTTTTTGTCATTGAATTCACCATGAGTGGATCTAGGATTCTGAAAGGGGGGTGTAGATGGTGTGATGAATCAACACAACACACATTTTTCTCCAGTTAACAAGAAACTAGAAAATGCACTAATATGCTAAGGATCCAGCACTATATTATTTGGTTTGAATCAAAACAAAACTAAATACAAATGTATTGGAATGTGCACTAATTTCCTAGATTATATATTAAGTTAAAGAAACACAGCAAACTAGGCAAAATAGTAAAAAATATTGTTTTTTAGTCCTGTTGTTATTATAGTTAAATGTACGTGCCTTATTCAGATTTGTAATACAAAATTTAGCCTTCTTGAGCATCTTAACATTGTATCCAACACTTCACTGTTACTCATTTCCACACCTGGGTTACTGTTCATCTGAATTAAAATTACCACACCTGAGTTAAGGTTTTTAGCTATAAACAGTCTGTGGGCCTATGAAATAGAAGGGAGATATTACCAAGAATGGTTAACAGACAGCAAAATTGTAGGAGAAAGGATAGCTTGATTAATGGAACATCAAGACCTTCAAAAAGGAGGGTGGGTTGTTAATATCTGTGGAGTGAAGACAGGTTAGCAGAAATCAGGTAGTCAATTGACTGTGAAGTCAATTGACCCGCTCAGCACTGTCCTGGTAGAAATGCTGCTGTCACTATCAGGCAGTTGGGTGGAACAGGAGTCCAAGAGGGGTGCAACTGTACCACTGCAGCTTGTCCTGGATCTGTCCCTGGAAATCACTGACATATGGCTGAATAAATGCAGAGAGCAAATCTGATGAGTAAAATGGGGCCGTTTTTATGTAATCACTTCTCAGGACAGAACATTACTTTAGCTTGGAGCTTCCTAGCTTGTGCTGAGTTTTATTATAGCCAGGAGGATGTATTTTCTTCTCCTGCTTTTTTTTTTTACTATTCACTTGACTGAAGACGATTATTAAATGCAGACCAGCTCCTTTTAGTTAAGTAATACTAGTGAGCAAGTAAAAGGGTAGCATGGCTTGGACCAGCACCGTCCTGCTGGGAGGGATTAGCCACAGCAGAATGAGTACAGAAACTGTCCATATGGACAGCTCTGCCTGCTAAAATCAGGGGCAACCTTCTCTGGGCACCCCTTAACCACCATGTTTGTCTTCTTCCCACTTGAAGCCTCTTTCAAATTCTCCCTCATTCTGCAGGCAAGCTCATAACATTAAGCCATCACAGTTCTTCAGTTCTCGGTCCCCTCCCAGGGCTTTCCCAAGAAGGAATCCATCTGGACAGTCATTCTGACAAAATTATTTAAAAAAGTAAAAATCCTATCCCAGGTTGAAACCATGTAATCCGTGTGTTATTTTAGAAAGGATTATTGTTATTATTAAGTTATAAATTCCTAAAATAGCCTGTTATATGGGCACGGCTGCCCAGTACAAGCTCATTCATCCTTCTATTCTTATTCCAAAGGCAGATTCTGACCTGCTAGCCATTTCTCTCTCTCTTTTTTATTTTAACTTCGCTCCATACTCCAAAACTCACTGCACTCCAGTGCAGCACAGTGACATGGGTGATTCACTAGGTGGCACTCTTCCCCCTGAAGTCAGCATGAAATAACTATTCCAACATGGACAAACAAAAGGAAAATACCCTGATTTAGTAAAGTGAGGTCTGGGCATTTGTAACCATGAAACACCCCATGCTTCTTTTCATTTGAGTAGAAGTATTAGCTTGCCGTCTTGACCAAGGAAATTACTTTCTGCCTGCCTGTGTTCTTCCTGAAGTTTCCGTTTCAATGTTTTTTTATTTTTTATTTTCTGCCTTCAACTGTGATGCAATATTTTATTGCATCTTTAAAGAACAGGGATGTTCCATTCACAAAATGACTTTTTTTTAGGGTAGGGAGAAGAAATTTGTAAAGCAATTTGGAATGAGAGTCATGGTATAAACTAAGGTGCTCGTGTTATGTATTATTTATGATGTGATAAGGGCAAACCAGTGGAAAGGAGCTAATGGAAATAAGCTGATTGCTGATCTTTATAAAAACACTAATTCTTCTCCCCTTGCTCTTTCTTTCAACAGGTTGGTACAACCGACTCTTTATAAACTTTGCCCTAAGGAGACACATTTTCTTTTTTGTGCTACAGTCTTATTTCCCAGCTATGCTGATGGTGATGCTGTCATGGGTTTCATTTTGGATTGACAGAAGAGCTGTCCCTGCCAGGGTATCACTAGGTAATCCTTGAAGGGATGTTTTGGGAGGGGAAAACGGGAAAGCAAGGAGGACTGTAGTTAGCTTAACCGAGTTCTGGTGTGCAGTACACATGAGCAAATGCATTAAATAGGTTCCTGAGTTACACCACTATTTTTACACCAGCTACATATACCCCATTACACATCCTCTGGACTGTGACATGGGGGAATGTTGCTCTCCACAGATCAGTTGTATTTTATGATAAAACTATCTATGACACATGAGAGCGGGACACAAGAAAGATGAGTATTTATGAGCTTCCCTCTGTGGAACATCATTTGAACCTGTCTGTGTTTGCTCCCTATGAAAGTAGCAGACAATTTTCCCCTACCTTAACCTGTATGGGTCAAAGGGTGTATGGCCACTCACCTGCCTCTGCATCAGTTCAAGGTCCTTCATTTTCCCCCAAGCCTTATGTTTCCAGCTTAAGGCTATGTACAGATGTTCAGTTTCCCCAAAGAGAGTCCTTGCTCTCTGAGAAGAAACCACAAGGGGCAGATGTTAATAATTTTTCTTCCAGAGCAAAAGTGGGCACTCTAGGAGAAAAATAACTTGGGAACAACCCAAGTGAAATGGCTTCCAGGAAACTCTCAGGAGACTGAATGTCTGTTGAGCAGGGGTCAGCAACATTTTTGGGCAGTGTCAAAAACACTTGCAACCTTGACTTGTAAGATGTTGGTATGCCAGGGGGGGATGGTGCGGGAACTGCAAGGGACCCCATACTTGTTGTGGCAGCGCAGCCCCAGCCCCTTCCCCGAAGCATGCATGCCAAACAAAAGGCTTTTGCATGCTACTCTCTGGCACGTGTGTCAGGGGTTGCCTACTGCTGTATGGGCTACCTACCTAAGCTGCCTTACTGCCATGTATTTCCACACAAAAATTTAAAACAAATTGACCCTAAATTCACACCTTCAGTTAATTGTATGAACTGTCCTGAGTGCTTGCATGCAGAAAAGCCCTTAATCCTTTTATGTAATTTTGAAAATGTTACCTTTTAATGCCTTATGATTTTGTTCACTAAAAGCCAAATCCTATCTTGTCTCTGTTCTGAGCCCTATAATTTTAACTCTGCACATCCTAGGATCAGGACCATAAAGAGCTGTCTAGTCAGTGTTTACAACATTAGTTTTATCAAAGATTGATTACTTGACATCATTCAAACTTCTCTCTTTGATGGCATAGCACTAATGGCCTTAGAATGAATATATCCAAGGTTAACTTATCTCCGAAGATCTAATGGAGATTTCCTGGTACGTCTAATATCTCTCTAATGCTTCTGATTCCTACAGTTGTAAATTTAAGAATTGACAAGGGAGTTTCCAGTTTTCATTCTTACTAACAGTTTTGGTTCTGGAAGCTGATTAAGTTCTTGTGTTACATTTAAGACAAGGGGAAACCTTGAGAGCCCTAGTGAATAAAACACATATGAGTGTGTTAACAGATCCAATAAAGAAAGTGTCTTTCTGTAGCCATATTGACCTGTACAGAAAAGCTAAACCTGGATGGCTAATGTGATGTGTTTTATTGGAGTAATGGATAATTTTAAGTACAGTACATAGAATATAAATTAATTGTTGGGCCAGTGAAATAACTAGCCTATCTGCTACGGCTATGGCATAAATGAATCTCCTATTCCTTTCATCTGTGAGAAAATAACATCAAGTTTTACTTTAAATAAAAAAAAAATGTCTCGAGTCCTGAAAGGTCATATAAAAATATTGACAAGCCTGTATTCAACTGCAGTTAGCAGCTTACCAATGCTCTTTCTTTAAATCATATGGCAGTTTCTATGGGACAAGGGTAGGCAAGCTTTTCCATTTGCAGACTCGAATGACCCACCTGGGCTACTACTGGACCCTGCCACCACTTCCACTTGTTTTCCCAGCAACATGGAGAAGGTGGCTGTACAGGCAGAGTGGCTATGACTGGTGTTCATCCCCATAGCAGCAGGGGGAGAATGTCTGCAGAAAGTACTCCCACTGCCAATGCCACTGAAACCCCATGACTGTGAGCTGAATTCAGCCCACAGTCTGTAGGATGCTGACCCCTATTACATGAGATTATACATCAGGTTTCCCTGAATAACCGGTTTGTATTACAGCAGTATATCCAAGATAATTTTTGATGAGCTTTATATTCCTGATCAGTGATTTGGATACCAAGTTCTAATGCTTCTCTTCCTAGTTTATAAGCATCTGAATACATTTTTACTCTTGTATGGTACATTCAGAACCTCAGTGTTCAACTTAAATCTATAGATGAGAGAAGGGAAGATAAAGCTCTTGAATGTTTTAGTGAAGTTAAACTAGCCCAAAACTAGATTAACACATAGTGAATTGGGCCCAGTGATAAAGTTCATTGAGTAGAACTGGTAGGAACTTTTGTCAAAAATTAAATTTTGACAGAGAAAGTGTACAATTTCTCCTATAAAATGTTTAAGCTTCCTAACCAGCTTTGTATTTTATTGTTGTAGTAATATTTTTTTCTGTTAAAATAACAAGTAGATCAGTTTTTCATTGATTATTTTCATCAAAAATTTAAGACTGCCATGATATCATCCAGGATTCTGACTTACATAAACCAGTGATATCTTCTCAATGCTATATTCAGTATTTTAGCAGCTTGAAAAAAAAAACATAGCTGGAATAAAAGACTTAAATAAGGCGAACAACATAAACACTTTACAAGTTACTGGGCTTCCATGGAAAGGGAGACTGAAAAGATTAGGGGTGAAATTTTGGATCCATGAAGTCAATGGGAAGAACTCCCATTGACTTCAGTGTATCCAGATTTTCATAGTAGGCTTATTTTTTTCCAGAAAGGGAAGCTGTTGAGAAGTTATAAGGACACACATTCAAGACATTCAATTTGTGGGGGTGGGAAGAGATCTTGTTAATCTTTGAAACATGAGTAAAGAGACAAGAAAGTTGTGAGCCTGGATCCAGGAAGCACTGTCCACTACAGACATCATTTACTCTGCTGAGAGTTGTGGGTCCTGTATAGGAAATTCACTTCCTACACACTGGTGTAATCAGCCCCTAGAGCCCACCAATAAACAACGTTACTGAGGCAAGTTCAGTAATTTAGGACAGCTCCTTGCATACGGGAGCCAGAGTATCAGCTTAACTAACAGGTACAGGCAGTAATCCCTGGAGGACCTGGCCTGCACCTTATCACTAACTAGCACCTGCTTTCTTTGTGGCTGCAGTGGTTGGCTTCAGTTCCACTAGTATGGAAGGACTAGTGAGGGTCTTTCACCACTTCAGTTCTTTTGTAGATACAGTTTCCAGAGCCTTGTGTTCTGACTTATTAAAAGCTTTTGGTGTATTCTGATGTCAGTTTTTTAAAATGTCAATGAAGATTCTGTATAAAGTCAAATAATGTCTACATTTCATAGGGACCTAGACCAGAAAGGGCTGCTGTGATAATTTACTCTGACCTCCTGCATACCAGAGGCCACAGAATGTCATATAGGAATTTCTGCTGTGAGCTTTAAGTAAAGCAAATCTTTGAGGAATACATCCAAAGTTGATTTACCATGGCTAAAATGAAAAGAGAAGATTATCTGTTCTCACCCATTCCAAGGGCAGGCAATTATTTTGGGCAGAGGGCCGCTTACTGAGTTTCAGCAAGCCATCGAGGGCCGCATGACAGGCAACCCAGGGCAGATTAATATTAATTTTCTAAATTTTTTAGGGACCCTATGGGCCAGATAGAATGGCCTGGCAGGCCACATCTGGCCCCCAGGCCACATTTTGCCCACCCCTGCTAAACTATAGAGCAGGAGTAACAGCAATCAGGGAAAACACCCTTTCCCTGTACTCACTGATGCATTAGAGAAGTTTTAAACTTCCTTCTGAAACTTCAGGCATTGAGTAGCATTGAAAAGAGGGTATCAGGCTACATTTGTTGGTCTATTCTGATATGGCAATTACTATATAGAGGGCATGTCTACACATGCACCCAACTGCGCAGTTGTTACTGTGCAGTCATTTAGTACTTTCCGCTGTTACTGTGCAGTCCCGGTGGGCACATGGGTCATTTCTGACCCTACTGTGCAGTAGCAATGAGCTGCTGTACAGTAGCTCATTGCTACTGTGGAGTAGCGTTGGCATCACAGCTTGTGCCTGCCAATGCTACATCACCATAGCGATGAGCTACGTTGCCATAGCTCGTCACTATGGCGACACAGCATCTTGTGTAGATATGCCCAGTAGCTCCCAGTCCTTCTAAGCTGTTTACTCTGTGGTGATTGCAGTACCCAAAATAGAGAGATGCATTGTATTTAACACCAATGGAACTGCTTAATCACAAAAGGTTGCAGAAATGCATTTAACATCACACAGGGGGTGCAGTAGAAGTCCTGCTAGGACATCCTAAGTCTGGCCAGTGCTGTTGTGCTTTCATTGAGGCTATGTGTGAGAGAAAGGTAAATGGGAAGTGTACCAAGCCCAATGCTTCCAGGAACACACAAAGCAGGAACATTTTCTAAACCTTTTAACAGTGGTGCTTCATACATACTTCATCTGCAGTTTCAAGAGTTGCAGTTGACGAATGGTTTTCTGCACCTTGTATTACAGGATCTCACCTCTATGGAGTTAGGACTAGCTATGCTTTAGCACTTTCTGTGAACAATGGATTTTCCATTGTACTGATGGAATATATAGATGATCTATGGGTTAGGTACTGTTTTGAGCAGGTCTATGATGTTACCCTTTATAGCATGCTATGTGTGTCATAACCTGTGCCAAGGGGCTAAAGGGGTCCCCTCACATTCACAAAACTATGCTGAGCAAGTGGCCAGTCATTAGTTGAATGAAGTCAATTGGACTTTGCTCTGTATTAATCACATCTTTCTTTGGCAGGTATAACTACTGTGCTGACAATGTCAACTATAATCACAGGAGTAAGTGCCTCAATGCCTCAGGTGTCTTACATAAAAGCTGTGGATATATACTTATGGATCAGTTTTGTTTTTGTCTTCCTGTCCGTCATTGAATATGCAGCTGTGAACTATCTCACTACAGTAGAAGAGAGAAAACAACTAAAAAAAAGAGGGAAGGTATAAACTTGTGTATTTTGGTGTCATCAGACAGCCACGAGATATAGTCACGTGGCATTGTGTGGTGAAATTTGTGCTGTGACTGTGTCTCTACCTTTTGACTAACTGGTCATTTGCTCTTACATCCTCTTTGGATGGTAGGAAAAATGGCTCTCCTGTCCTGGATACTGAGAGTACAGTATTCCCTCTTCCCTTTTCCAGTGGCAGAAGCTAAGGGAGCTTCATCTCTCCATTTCTTTCTGCCACTTTTGGCAGCTGAGGGGGAAGAGATCTCTCTCCAGGGTCTTTCTCCTCACCCCTGGTGGTTGACCAGTCGCCCTTTTTTTCCTCTCTTGGAGCTTGGGGAAGATAGGCTCTCTTTGTTCCTGCTTCCTAAAAGGGAGAGGCCATTTCTCCTTTCTCACTCCTTGCCCAGTTCTTTCTAGTCAGTTTTGATTGGACAGACCAGTCGTATGATCTGCTATTGCTCCCTGATCAGAAGAGTAGCCATGTAATTCATTAGAATTACCTTTCTGAAGTGGACAGTCATATTTACAAGTTAGAAATTTGCTCTTCCTGAATCCGCTGTACGGTTCCCTTGCTTCCATGAACAATCCCATCTGTGAGCTCCTTGGCTAGAAGAGCTGAGGAAAAGGGAACAGGCAAAGGTCACACATATAGCACCAGTGATTTCCCTGTTTTATTTCGAGTTTTTGTGGAAAATATCTGAGGCGTTCCCCTGGCTGTAGTTAATTGGGCCCTGCAGAAGGGCAAGTTGCCACAGGCAGATGGCCATCTGTCTGTGTTATACAGTTGCCCTGTTTTTTCCCCACCAATAGGTTTTTGAAAACAGAGGGCACCTATACATGAGCAGCAAGGCTGCTCTGCCATGCTATAATTACAGCGCATCAGAGCAGATTCAATTAATCAAGTCTGCTGGAGCATGGGGATTACCACGCTCCAGCAGACTCTAGCGTCTCATGTATCAGCATCCCTGCACTGAAAAATGGTGGCAGGGGCACTTTAACTGAAGCTCATTCTACAAGCTTTAGTTTAAGTGCTCCCCCTGCCATTTCTCAGTGCGGGGATGCTGATACACGATACCCTCCAGGTGCTTTAATTAGAGTGGCTCTCGCAGCCGCTTAAATTAAAACACCACTTCCCACCCCGCTCCCGGAGCACTCCGAGAATGTCAACAGGGGAGACAATGTAGCAGATGAAAGTCTTGTTTATCGGTCCTACACCTCCTGCTAGACCACAATAATTATTATTTGTTGCCAGGTGCCAGGAGTGTATAATCTTGATGCAGTGCAAGCAATGGCCTTTGATGGCTGCTATCATGACACTGACCTTGACTTGGCTGATTTGTCAGTGCACTCGGAAGAGAGCTCATCTCGGGGACGTGCAGCCAGCATCCCCAACGTGGACACAACGCGTGTAAAGAGGAAGAGATCCTTGAAAGGAAATGTGGGCAGGATTATTTTGCAGAACAATCATGTCATTGACACATATTCCAGGATTATATTTCCAATTGTATATATTATATTCAACTTTTTTTACTGGGGTTTGTATATATGAAAGGAAAAAGCTACAATCTACCCATTGGCTTGTATGAGAGGACATCTGAAATGCATGCTTAAAAATAAGCCCAACAGCAACACAGATGAAATATCTAAAAATCTCTGGAACAGGTTCACACATCAGACCAGGGAATGTCAGTTTGTTTGACAGCAAGAATATTCATTAAAAACCCCAGTGACCTGGCTCTGTAAGTGTTACTTCTAAAAGGAACAAGGGGTTTTAACTGGTCCATGCAGGGCTTCACAGTTGTAGTCTGAAGTCTTTGTAACTTCTGAACTTGCTTATGGATTTTCATGTTACAGGGCCCTGCATCATGCTGCTAAATAATTGGTAGTTCCCTGAAATAAGTCGTCAATGCAGTCTTCAGTCTCTTATGCTATTCTGTAACCACCCTTCCCTACTCAGCCTCTCTTTTGCTTTTCCACCTGTGATCCATGCTACTGTAATGCAATCAGCACCATACGTCATCTTCAGATGGCTCTTGTCTTTATTTAGCTTGCTGTGCTCCTGTTATTCTGGCCAATTTGTATATACCTCAGCAGCCTTTGTGCTTGGATGGTGGGTTGGGGTAAGGAGATGATAAGTAAGCAGTGAATTGGGAATTAGCTGCAGGCTGGAACTGAGATGTCATTGTGCATTACAAAAATGGAGGTCTGTCTGACTTTGTTTGCATCCCTTTAGAAAAACATGTTTTTGAATGCTCCAAGATCATTGATCACTGAATAGTGAATATAGAGGAGTGCACTAAGTGTTCTGTAGGCAGTGCCACAGCATCTGAAGGGCAATCTGTTAGCTGTGATTGACTGGATTGATAAAAAGAACAGAAAGAAATGTCTGTGGTCTGTTATAGCAAGGTATGCCACTCATTGTAGACCCAGTCCAAATCAGCCTCATGCAAACCTTTTGTCGTCATCCTATCTTTTCTGTAAATTAACCAGATCAAACACTTGAATCCTTGAAGCGAGGACTTAAGAAAGCTCTGCAGGTAAAAAAGAAGTCTGTCATTATTACAAGATTCTTGCTATGCTGATTTTATTGTATGCATTGGTTTGGGTCTGTCACTCCTCTGGGTGTTAGAGGTTACGAGTTAGGGTGAGGAGAAATTGCATATGACTGCTTGGTTCAGTGATTCTGATTGAATCTCTGAGAATGAGAACAAAGGCAAGGAGGAAATAAAAGATAACAGTTACATAGCAGCAGTCATATTTTGCATAAGTTTGTCTCTGGGGTTCAGGCCAAACCTAGGTCTGCTGGAAGAAGGGTAGACAAACACAAAAAGTAGTTCAGCAGCCCCCCAAAAGGGTCAGATAATTGTAGAATTACTTGTATGGCTTTCTCAGATTGGCAGTACCTGGAATTTCTTGGTCTTGTCTTGCATTTTAAAGTAACTACATGAATGCAACATAGAAATGCATGCTGGTAAGACAATGTCCAAAAAGTAAATGCCTGCCAGTGCTGGGTTGAAATAATGGAGATGGAAATAAACTTGAAAGCATGAATCACTTTCTGGCTGGTATGATTTCACAGTTATGATGCTGTTTGTTCATTGAATAATGACATCTGTTACTTTTTGGAAAAAAATCATTTGTCAAGCTCCCAAACACAAAATTGAAAATGTTGATTATGTGCTGAATACAGAGCAACAAAAATCCCATGGACTGAGTGAGTATCTTGGCAGCCACTTTCCTGTCAAACAAATGAACAGAGCTAATATGCCTTTGATACTGTTCCAGGGAATCTGTCATAGAGAGCAGAAGTATATTTCTGGGAATGGCAGTGCTGCTGGGAGACTAGAGCCAAAGGACACACAGAACTTAGCAGCCTTGGCAATAACACGAGACATGAAGCTCAGCAGATTTGTTACATAAAACAGTGAATGTGGCACCCTTATTGCTCCACTGCCACAGACCACGCGCTCCCTACTCTGCCCAGTACATAAGCTCCAGTCTGTTTGAGAAGGTCCCATGTAGTTGCTCCAGATGTGTGCTCCAAAATCTTTAACCATATAAGTGACGTAAAAATATCAGTTTTTAAATACAGGTTGTCCTCTGATTCATTGGGGCAAGCATGTTCTTGTTTGCTGAAAGATAATCCTTGACTGCTGAGGGAGCAAAATACCACTGTAGGATTTTGGCAATAACTAGGGAATTCATATTCTAAAATTCCTAACGAATGCCTGATAGACAAGGTTCTTTGGGTAAATGTGGTATCTTGTATTAGACCAACTAAATAGTTGGAAAAATGTTCTTTGCAAACTTTTGAGCACAAGCACCCTTCGTTTGGCATAGGGAGAGTCTGCTGGTGCATGTGTGCTTTCCTGGGTGGAATAGAAACATAAGCCAATATGTACAATATAGGTCTGTGAAAATGCAAATGCACAGCAAGGAAGATCAGAGGGGATGGGAGCCTACAAATTTCATTTAATAAATCTACCGGATACAAAAAATCATGGACTAAATATAGACATTGGATTTATGGCACATAATAACCTGCTTGCCATCCGATAACCCCAGGTAATCTCTCTACATTTTACCAGCTACATACTATCAACAGCTCAACGTACACTCCCCTTATCCCACTACCTGTCTCTCACTTGTCTTTTAATCTATTTAGTTGATCTAATTAAAGATATCATATTTACCTAAAAAAACTTGTCTGTCTATGTCCTTAGACCAACACAACTATAACCAACATCATCTAATGAATGTCAGAATATTCCATAATATTGAATCCATAATTCCAGTTTAAACATCCCAATGCATGGGGGTGGAGGTGAAGGTGTTTGGAAAGGGACAGGAAAGAATCCATGTCTGTATTGGTGCTTATAGCAGTTTCTTCAGACTCATGATTCAAGAGGGTAATCTAATTTATTTGACCACTTGTCTATCCCAGTTGCAAAGGAAAAAAAATCCTCAGTAGAAAAATAAAATCCATGGTGTTTGCAATGGAACAGCAATTACTAAAGTACTTCCCCCACATGAAAACTACTATGTATGTGCTAAGTTTTATGATGGTGATGAAAAAAGATGCACCATTTATCCAGACAGACAACATACACATACTGCAAGTATTGTTCAGGAAGCACATCATGGTTTTGTCTTGAAAATAAAATGAGAGATGATGCCGGTTTTGTTAAAAGTGAGAATACTACACGTGCTCAAACAAAATGTATTTGTCAGAGTGTTCACCTTGGAAGCACTCATGTTCTGTGTCTCAGTGGATTGGAAATTTTCCAGTCAGGTAGCTGAAATAACAGCAGGTATGACTTATGTAGGATGTGACCCCCTTTATTTTTATCATTTGTTGTTATATCAGTCGAACATCTTTTAAGTGTTAGTGTGGGTTTTAATGCCACAGAACTCAGTTCTCTGATCTCCTAAGCTTGGCAACAAGGGATGGCTGTATCCTTATATGCGTGCCATTTTCATAAAGAAGCATGCAGTATTTCATCCCAGTAACATGTTTTTTAGAGAGCTCAGAATAAATGCCATTTCAGAGAGTGCAGATATTATTGCTGCCCTAATACAGACTTAGTTCCGATTTTAAATAAACTTTGCTGGTTGCCCTGAATGTTGGATGACGTCACAGAATCATAGAAAATTAGGGTTGGAAGGGACTTCAGGAGGTCCAACTAGTTGAACTCGCTTCAGGAGTTCATCTAGTCCAACTTCTCGCTCAAATCAGGGCCATCCCTAACTAGACCTAGATCATCACAGCCAAGGCTTTGTCTACTTGGGCCTTAAAAACTTCTAAGAGGTTCTATAACTTCTCTGAGTACCTGTTCCAGTGCTTTGCTACCCTCTTTACAAGAACGTTTTTCCTCACATCTAACCTCAACTTTCCTTGCTGGAACCTGAGACCATTGCTCCTTGTTCTGTCATCTGCCACCACTGACAACAGTCCAGCTCCATCCTCTTTGGAACCTCCCTTCAGGTGGTTGAAGGCTGCTATTAAATCCCTCCCCCACCAGTCTTCACTTCTCCAAACTAAAAGAAGACCAGTTCCCTCAGCTTCTCCTTGTAAGTCATGTACCTCACCCTCCTAACCATTTTTGTTGCCCTCTGTTTGGCTCTCTACAGTTTGTCCACATCTTTTCTGTAGGTGGGGAGGGGGTGGGAACTGGACACAGATGTGGCCTCAGTGCTGAATACAGGGGAAGAATGACTTCCCTTGATCTGTTGGCAACACACCTAACAGTGCAGCTCAGTATGCCATTAGCTTTCTTTGCAACAAGGGCACACTGCTGGCTCATATTCAGCTTATTGTCCACTGTAAGTCTCAGGTCCTTTTCTGCAGAGCTGCTGCCCAGCCAGTAAGCCCCCATCCTGTACTGGTGCATGGGATTGCTCTGTCCTAAGTGCAGGACCCTGCACTTGTCTTTACTGAACCTCATGAATTTTTTTTTTGTCCAATCCTCCAATTTGTCGAAGTCTCTCTGAATCCTGGCCCTATCCTCCAGTATATCTACTACTACCCCCACCAGCTTGGTGCCATCTGCAAATTTTCTGAGAGTGCACTCTATCCCATCTTCCAGGTCATTGATAAAAATATTGAACAAAACTGGCCCCAGGACTGACCCTCGGGGCACTCCAGTTGATACCGGCTGCCAACCAGACATTGAGCCATTGATTATTATCATTCAAGCCCAATGATAAAGCCAGTTTTCTATCCACTTTACAGTCCATTCATCCAGCCTGTACTTCCTTAGCTTGTTTGTGAGAATGTTGTGGGAGACCGTCTCAAAAGCCTTGCTAAAATCAAGGTACATAACATCCACTGCTCTCCCCGCATCCACAAAGTCAATCATTTCTTCACAGAAGGCAATCAGATTGGTCAGGCATGACTTGCCCTTGGTGAATCTATGTTTATATAAATACCTGAGCCAATAATAACTCAGGCAGAAGGCAAAGTAGAGGTGCATCTTATGGATGAATAGAATGAGAGATGAATAAGCTTTTGTGAGCCACAGTTTCTGCATCTCTGATTCAGTTAGTGCT